GAAAAATGGCCGGTTCTCCTGCAGAAATAAGTTTATTCAGCAGAGAAAACTAAAAAAATTAAAATCTATTTTTGCCACGCTTTTCGGCCATGAAAATATGATTTCAGAATTTTTGATTTTGAAGATTAAGCTAACACTTGGTGTAAGATAACTAAAGTGTCTTCGGTATCTGAAAGTTATAAAAATAGGTACGCGCTTTCATTTTCAGTGAGTTCAGACACAAACCACGGGAGATTATAGTAGGATACTGTCTACACTGTAATCCCGCATTTTAGATAAGCATATTATCCAGTCACGGTCAAGTAAACGGTCTATTGAAATTGAAGACCATTTACCGTATTGAGTTTTGAACGTAGTACTTCCAAAATGGTGGAAATTTGATAGAATATCGGTCTAAATTTCTAAGGACCGACCCTGCATATTTTCTTTTTGCTCATTGACGTAATTATCTAGATTATCTCAGCTGAAGTAGATGATGTGGGAGTTCGCGGGCGGAGAGAGCGTGTTTCAGTCGTTATCTGAACTGATTTGGTCCAAAATGCAATTTATATTTAGAAAGCTGTGCCTTAATCAGGAGGGATACGAATACTTGAAAATAGAAGCAGAACTTACTTGGACGTTTCGAACGAAAGCCCTTCAGGTCGGGAACACTCGATCATGTGCCGGCAATGTTTACGGAAAAATATTGCGCCATTATGATGTATAAACAAGGATAGTCAGAAAAGTGCAAATTCCAAGGCCAGAGATTTACTTTTGTCGAAAAAACCCGTGGCGTCGAAGTTCCGCTTGTATTTTTCACGTCGGTCCTGCTTGTACTGTTCAGGTAGTTGTATTTCCTATCTATCCGTATACCTCACTGGCACAAAGTTTATCCTTAGACTAGTTAATGCTGAAGGAATGAAATAATCTATTTTTACCCTGTACACCAATATTAACATTTCATACCCCTACCAAGAAATCAAGAATGCTTAGGCAGACATTCCAACTCTCCCGATTTTACCGGGAGTCTCCCGAAAATTCATACAATCTCCTGGTCTCCCGATTTTTATCAAATTCTCGCGATTTTTCAGAATATTCGGGAAATATCGTAAAAAAATCATAAACATACGTACTGTCAGGGATGCCGGAAGTTGCTGAGGGCAAGGGGTGCAATTGGTTAACAAGAGGGCATACTCCTTAATAGTATGGGGAGTATCTAATTGGAGCGGGTAGCGGGTCGCGGGTAAAAGGAGCGGGTAATTGAAAAAGGAGCGGGTAAAAGGAGCGGGTAATTAAAAAAGGAGCGGGTAAAAGGAGCGGGTAATTAAAAAAAGAGCGGGTAATTTCCCAGGTGCTAAGCGCCGGTGGGGAATTTTAAAGAAAAGAAAGACATTTTTTATGAAAGTGTAACAACATGAGGATCATTTTTACTAAGTGAAACCATTGACTTCACATAAAAAATCTCGAAAATTCTATCAAATGTTAAATTGACAGATATTTAACAGCCTAACATGTCTTATTATGACGTGCTGAAAATACGTACACACTAGCGCAACGTTTTTGGGTCACCAAATGGACAAAAAGTATTATAACATGTACAATTGCTACTCAAAACTCTACAGTCTGCCTCGGCTATTGCCTCACCAAACTCTGGTAATGCATTACTAACTCTATGGAGCAAAGGAAACTATAAACCATTTTTTACTATAAATTTATCCGAATTTCAAGTTTTTAGCCATCCGGTTTTTCAGTATACGTACATGCCTTACATACATGGCGGCCATCATGAGTGGCTTCAAAGATGGCGGCTAAGTTATCTTTCCAGTTCCCTTAAGCCCCATTTACACTACGCTCAATTTTTGGTACCGTATCACTTTTTTGGTTCTTAAAAGAACCACCGTACCAATACGCGGGTACCGATTTTATCCGTGCCGTACCAAAAATTGACTGAGTGTAAACGGGGCTTTAGAGTTCACTGGTTTAAACTGAACGTGAGCGCCTTATTAAAACACCCTGTGTTTGGAAACTTTTGCTCTATTGTACGTGTAGTCTAAAAATGTGTATATATGCTACACCACTATCAGTTCACTGAATAAATTCAATGGTGTTCTGCAAACGTAAACCCTAACCGTGCAAACCGCGTTCAATATGTTCATAGTTTTCTACAGTTTGGTGAGGCAATAGCCGAGACAGACTGTAGGGTTTTGAGTAGCACTTGTGCATGTTATAATAATTTTTGTCCATTTGGTGACCCAAAAACGTTGCGCTGGTGTGTACGTATTTTCAGCACGTCATAATAAGACATGTTCAGGCTGTTAAATATCTGTCAATTTAACATTTGATAGAATTTTCGAGATTTTTTATGTGAAGTCAATGGTTTCACTTAGTAAAAATGGTCCTCATGTTGTTACACTTTCATAAAAAAATGTCTTTGTTTTCTTTAAAATTCCCCACCGGCGCTTAGCACCTGGGAAATTTCTCAAATTACCCGCTCTTTTTTTTTAATTACCCGCTCCTTTTTTAATTACCCGCTCCTTTTACCCGCTCCTTTTTTAATTACCCGCGACCCGCTACCCGCTCCAATTAGATACTCCCCTCCTTAATAAAAGGCACCAATGAAAATGAATGGGCGTCATGATCCTACACTCGTGTCAACCTCCCTCCCCGTCGCCAAATGTTTTCGGACCGAATACAATTATTTAGGCACAATTCCTCCGTAATAGTTTCTCGCCAAAAGTAAGTAATTTCTCGCCAAGTAATGCTTTCCGTTTCACCTTTCGCCAAATAGATAACAACTTTGCCTAATTCCTGACGACTGGGGGGTGGAACACCCTCACACACACATCCTCAAACGACGTTTAATTCTGTCTGTTGTAAAAGTTTTGTGCACCCGTTACACAAATAGTCTGCACCCGCACTGCACCCACAAAGTTGAAAATGCAAAAGGCAAGGGGTGCACTTGCACCCGCTGCACCCGTGGTTCCGGCATCCCTGCGTACTGTTTTTAGCAACATAATAGTCTGTTTTGACCTTTTTATGAAGTTGCTTCTAGTATGGCAATTTATAGGATCAATTATAACAACATATACCGAAAATGCAGGAAACGCCATTTCAGAAGGCTTAATTTTTAAAATTTTTTCACAGAAGAACAAGAATTCAATTCACTGAACAGTCTCCCTAAATTTTAGTTCAGTAGTTGGAATGTCTGCTTAGGCTGGTGGTCAACGACACTGATGAGTTAAGACTAGAATTATTTAAGAAATTGAAAACTCTACAAGATACAGTAGTAAGAGATGAGCTAATAATTGAAGGGCAAGTCTTTTACTATAAAGTAAATAGGTCTTGAAAGTCTGTAACCTGTAACCATCGGTCTATATTCTACGAAGTAAACACAGTTTATAGTTTATTTCTTACTTCAAATATTACTAGTAATATTACACTCTAAACCTTTTCAATGATCTATGATCACCCTTAGGCGGTTAAGCCTTAACATTGAGAACAAGAAGAAATGTTCTTCTTGCTCAATTTTACATATTGTACTGATTGACTGTAAATAATTATGTAATCTACTGAATCTAATACAAATTAATACAGTAGCCCTAAATAAAACGTCTATGAAGATTTCTAATAGGTCTCTATAGTATAGCCCAAATATTTAAAATGATTGTTACATATCATAGATTAATTTATTGTACGTGGGGAAAATAAATAAAAAAAGAAAGAAAGTGAATCAATGACAATGACAATGTGCAGCCGGTCGACACGGTAATCGGGAGGAACAACACTGAGACAGTAACGAAAATGGTAAGTATGGTAGTTGAAAAATCTACTCGAAACGTCGATTAAACACTTTTTAAAAGTGTTTACCGTTTCGAAGTTACTATTGTATTGTATTTCATTCAACAGACCTAACGACCTAACTTTTGAACTGCTTTTGTAGATGAGAAATTTCGACTGTATACAATTGTATACATTTTTTAGACCTAATCAGGAACAGCTCGAAAAATACAACTATAACCATAGGTCCTTATACACGGGGGTTTTACACCGACAAAAGTAAACTTCGGCAGTTTCACAGCAGTAATCGTTGTATGAACTTCGAACTATTACATAACTATAACTATATTTAACTACAGCTTTATCAGTTCTATAAATTATAATCTGCTCTCCCCGGAGGTCCAGTGAAAGCCACTCTAACTGACCAGTGTGACTACAGGAGTAAACCTAAACTAACTTTATTTATACTGGATAGCTTTATCAGTACTAAGCTGTTCTCTTTAGGAGGTCCAGCAGGCAGCAAGAGCTACTCTTATTCGGATTCAGTTTTACTGCAGGAGGAAACTGCATTAATGCCCAGGAACTTGCGCTATTTGGTAGAGTCAAACTAAAAGCATTGTTTCACATGCAATTGAGGCGAAATTTAACCAATAACCATATTGGACATGTTGGATATTGAATCAAAACTGACCACCAGCGCGGTTGCTTTGTCTAGGAAATGAAAGATAAAACACAAACTATTGACAGAGTTATAAAATTGGAAATCAATCACTGCAACCTGATGGTTGCAACGCACTTGCGGAAGCGCAATAAAGTATAAATCCAATTATGAAACTTGAAAGGAAATGCCATTCCAGTGAAAATCTGTTTCGTCTAATATTACAAATACAACTAGGGAATGACCACCTCACACCTCCAAACAAACCCTAAACTAATCCAATTTTACACACACAAACGCCCTTTTTTGTTCCATCCAAACAACATTTGACCATAACATAAGTTTTGAAAACCTCTCTTTATCTTTTGCTCTTTTCTGCCTTTACAGTTTACATGCATAAAGTTGAACCCCCCTTAGAGAACTATATATGGCATAAGACATTCAAGGTCACTCGGTGTTTATTTGATTATTTCAAAGCGAACTTTGTACTCTGTAATACCCATTGAACTCAAAACTGGTTTATTTACCAAAAACCTTAACAAATTTGACATTTTTAGGCATAAATATGCAAATTTTAACCAAATGCGTGCGTTGGGGGTCTTGTTAGCGCAAGATATTCTGATTTCCTAGCATTTCCATCGCACATGCCGCATCTGTTGGGTTGGATTAGCGTCCGTGATAGATCAAGCTCGTTCGTGATTGGTTAGTTTCAGGATTGATCTATCAATGGTTTGTTATACGAGACAATTACGCATGCGCATTGGTGTCTATTTTGAACCTTTGACAGCGAGAAATCACGAGGTTTGAAAGATATTAAAAACACAACATTGTTTTGTTTCGCTCAAACGCCGCTGATCGATCGTGAAGAAGCTTTGAATACAGCGGAGACAAGCGAACATTGGTCAAGTCAGTTACTGAAGCAAGATGAAGTTGATCTGTGTGCTCCTGCTCTGCGCGTTAGCCGTCTCTGGTAAGCAAAATCTATTCTCTTTTTTTTGTACAACATACAGAAAATATTCAGCAACGCGCAGAAGCTATTGATAATGATATTGGGTTCCAAAGTTCACATTTGCGCAATTTAATTAATGCGTGATTTGAACATATTCTTCCGTGTATCTACTAAAAGTGATTTGGTAAAAAAAATTTAAAAGATCTGACCGCTAGCACGGATTTTTTTACTGGCACTGGTGATAAACCGTGATATTTTTACAAGAACTAAAGCGTACTTTAGTCACTATAAGTATTCGAAGTTTCCTCAGTGCGTACGCTGTAAGTTTCAAAGTGCAAGCTTTGTTTACTAAATACTCTGCGAATGCGGCATGAAATTCTGATTTCCTACACTAATACTATAAAACAAAAATGTTCTAGCCAAATAGATCGTTCAGTTTGTTTAGTCTACAAAACTCAAGAACGCACTTCACAAATTTCCGCATTTATACGACATTTGCGTCATTTGCGCAATTAACATAATCTGCGTTGCAGTTTTCTTAAAGCGCACGTTTTGACACGTTTTTGCTAAACGCAACACAAAAATTAACAGAAGTAAAATATAAAACAAATTGTGGACTTCGGCTTTAGACCTTTGCCCCCATTTGGCTTCCAAATATTTGACCATATGACCAACAGGATGTGCTTGTTAACAATTTGACCTTGTTAACAGTAAATCTTTTAACTCGAAATTTTAAGAATCACGGATACCAGGCAGGACAAAAACATTGTTTAAAAAAATATAAAAATTTCATCATTTGAAAAACATGTTTATGTAGTCTCAGACTCTGACATTTGTCTTTCAGATTCAATTTCCTTTCGAAAACATTGCGAAGTTATTTTTAAGTGTAGTTATTTCAAAGTTCACAAAAGTTCTTACTCTTATTTTACTTGTATTCTGGTATTATAATATGTATCCATACTTAATAAGTTCTTTGTATGTTTGCATGGCGATAAAACATATAATAGTTTTGTTTGTGGAAACACCACGTAAATTTATTACTGCAAAGCTTTCGATCCGTAAGCCCGGATCTTCATCAGTGCTCTGATGAAGATCCGGGCTTACGGATCGAAAGCTTTGCAATATTAAATAGATTTACGTGGTGTTTCCAGAAACAAAATTGGTACAAATCTATTACGCGTCAAATTTCGGTGACGTCGAATGCAATTCAAACAATAGATAATGAAGCTTAATGAGGTTTATCATCTCATTATCTATTGTCTTAATTGCATTCGACGCGACCAAAATTCGACGTATAAAACAGGCCTGAAAGATATGAAAAACTAGTTTCATATTATACATTGAATAATATGAAACTATAGTACAAATCCATTGATGTAAACGTGGGCATATCACTCTCAAAAAGTGTACAAGTGTACAATTGTTGTAAATACTACAATATTTTTTGTTGATTTCTTTGTTCTGATGAAGATATATTTTACGTACCGCATAAGTATGGTCGGGTTCAATTTTTACATTTTTCATGATATATACTGTAGATCACGTATTCATGGAGACTTTTTAACAATAAAGGCTTATCATATAAATCTATATTGAAATTTGAAATTTATTTGGAATTCAAATGAACTTTCACGAAATCGAAATTTCGCAATCTTCAAATGTCAAATTACGATTATCAAACACACAATTTTCGGGTTAATCTCAAAATCGTCCCTTAATTTAATGTCTAATAATTTTTTCATTAATTTAAACATTTTGTCAGTCACTCGCGCGGTAGGTATATGCATCATGTGGTGTGCAGCTCATATTTTCTGCTCTAGACAAAATTCCTATTTAATAGGATTTTTGCAATAGTCGAGAGTTATTTGTATAAACAAGATCCCACCGAGATAAGGGCAAAGTACAAGCTAGTTGAGTAGTTGATTAATATAGAATATCTATATAGAAAGCGCAACACGTAGCCGAAAAGCGCGCGCTTTGCGCAATTTATTCTTATCGCATTATATACATATTATAAATTTGAATTTGCGCTTATCCCAATTGATTTGATAGCTCCATTTAATAGGAAAGCAACAGTCCGGTTGAGGATAAGTTCATTTGGAGTTTAATTCAAGTAAAAGAGACTTCAAATGCATGAATATTAGATTTATAATAATAATAATGTTCTTTAAAAAATGCTTTAATACTCCATCTATTCATCTATCTCGGCTTAAAATGTTCATAAGAAGTAGGCTTTCATAATTTTATTTTAATTTCTTATATATTCTTATATGGTTGGAGTCCTCAGAGTCTCAGATAAGCAATGCACAAAACAAGGGTCGCCATCGTCTTCAAACTTGAGCAATTTCAATTTGTTTTTCCCCGTCTTTGTTTACAACACTAGTTCATAAAAAGTCGCGTACATTCTGCAATTCATATGGTTGGAATGTCGCAGTTAATGCCAATCCGATTACATTGTGGCAGTCTTGAGAGTCTCAGATTTGCCCATGGCAAATTCCTGATTGGAACAAGTTTGTACTTGCACGAAATGCCAGAAGTTCCAGTTTAATTAACGAGATTTTTGCGCGCAAAGGGTATTGAAGGGTAGCAATGACGTAATATGTCAGTGAAAAAAAATATTGCCTTCCAGAAATAAAACTGAAGCAATCCTTATTTTTATACTAATCAAAAACTTTAAAAATAAAGACAATCAGAAGTTTTTTAGTACTCATTAATAATTCATGAGGAAAAGACAAAGGAAAACAATCGGTGGTTTTATATGTGATAAGAAATCAGGTTAATTTACATAAACTTTAACTTTGATTTTCTCGGCTTAGACAACGTTGATTTTTTAAATTACTTCGCCAATGAACTCATAAGATGAGTCGTTT